GGTGGAAAATAAGTATTTGGTCACTAAAAAGATGAGAGAGGCCTGTAATTTTCATCATAGGTATACCTCAACTATGAGAGACAAAATGGGGGAAAAAATCCAGAAAATCACATTGTCTGATTTTTAAAGAATTTATTTGCAAATCATGGTGGAAAATAAGTATTTGGTCACTAAAAAGATGAGAGAGGCCTGTAATTTTCATCATAGGTATACCTCAACTATGAGAGACAAAATGGGGGAAAAAATCCAGAAAATCACATTGTCTGATTTTTAAAGAATTTATTTGCAAATCATGGTGGAAAATAAGTATTTGGTCACTAAAAAGATGAGAGAGGCCTGTAATTTTCATCATAGGTATACCTCAACTATGAGAGACAAAATGGGGGAAAAAATCCAGAAAATCACATTGTCTGATTTTTAAAGAATTTATTTGCAAATCATGGTGGAAAATAAGTATTTGGTCACATGTGATTTTCTGGATTTTTTCCCCCATTTTGTCTCTCATAGTTGAGGTATACCTATGATGAAAATTACAGGCCTCTCTCATCTTTTTAAGTGGGAGAACCTGCACAATTGGTGGCTGACTAAATACTTTTTTGCCCCACTGTATGCGCTAGTTATGTATTTCTTAGATATATTCTGAGAAATTACAACTCGGAATTTTTTTTTTGATATTGTTTCCATTAGTTATGTCAGATTCATAAAAAGCTAAACTTCTAGAAATAAGAAATGTGTCCACAGAAAAGTATGACAGAAGAGAATTCCCACCCTATATCACTACTCATGAAAGAGCAACACCGTCTGTTCTCCCCCACTTCCCTTTCCTTTTGTCTTTATTCTTTCCAACACAGCAGAATGTTGGGAACAAATTAGGTAAAGGAACTTGAGAACAGGATAACAGAATAGGACTAAATTTGGTATAGTAGGAGAAATTGCAAAAGAAAGATTGAATTAAAAAATGGACATCATCAGGCAAGGGCTGCAGCGAAAAAGAAATCTCCCAGTGCATCCCTAAAGAGAGGCAGTTGGGCAGCAGGTTAACATATTGCCAGCTCTCCCTCATTCTTCTCAGTCATGTGATCTAAAGCACAACTGTTTGGTGTTGGAAAGAATTCAAGGAGCCATCCTCTGCATGCTTTCCCTAATGTGTTTGTTTGGTGTGCCTTATGCAGCCTCCTGCTGATCGTGCTCTGTTGTTCTCAAATCAGCAGTTTCTGCGTTTGTGCAACAGTGCAAATACATTAGGGATTTAGAACTGTGTATGTTTGATTTTCACAACCTAGATAATCAAGATTTGTTTCTATTAAAAAGGGATAAATAGGGACTTTGCCTTTGTGATAGGATTTCTTTGGGACTTCTGATGTCACAAACAGAGCAATTGTAGATTTTAATGGTTTTAGTTGGGATTTTGAAGTCTAAATTCTCAACCACTAATCTCACAGGAAAGATTTATTCGAAATTGTACCTTCAAAATACATTTTATCAACTTGTACAAAGATACAAGTATTCCTCTTTTTTGTTGAAGCAGTACTGAATTTTGGATGTAAACATTATAAAGGTGGGTTGGCTTAAATATTATGGCCAAGTCACATTTTAGTTCAATTCAGTTTAATACTGTAAGTAAATCTGTATTTTACAGAATCCACATGCCAAAAGATGGTTAGAATAATTTCTGTACTGTTTAGTGGATTGAATTATTTTATTTTGTTCCATGTTTTTTCCATTATTGCAAACTATTTGTTTGTCTCTTCTATTTTGTGACTTTTTACTAATAATTCAAGGACATAGCTTTGTTTGGTTTGAGGATACACTTTCAAAATAAATGTTCTGTACAATACACATTCTCCACATGTACTCTTCTCAGTATATGAGGTCATTAAAAACATTAGTTCTGTCAGACATTTGTTTGCAACCTCAAAGCCAGCAAGTCTGAATACTTGCTCAGCCATAGTTGCTTTGCATGTGGCTTTCTCCATATCACTGTTTCTTGGTGTGACTATGTAACTTAGAGTTTAATGCATTCCTTCCTGTATATATAAGTGATTGGGGCTAGAAAGAGATGAAGGTTCAGCCAGCCACCATTGTAAGGATAAAGCTATATTTGCATTGCAGTGTAAGTCTGTGGATTACATCTAATGCCATGTGAGCAAACTTCAAGTTGCACAATGGGACTTCCTCTTGCTCCCCCTCTTCTAGGTCTGGTTCAGAGATTTACTCAAACTTTGGATTGCATTTTGGAATGTGGAATTTATTCTGGTGACAGAATCTATTCTGTCAAAAAAACAGCTATGGTTGGGTACAATCCTTTGTATTTGTAGCAGAAAAAATATTTTCCCCTTATTTTTTTTCCTTTTAGGAGGCAATACTCGTGCTATAGGTATGCTACTTCAGTACAAAGTACCAGGATCAGATGAACTCAAACAGCTTAAATTTACTGCTGGTGAAGACTTCAGTTCCAATAAAAAACTATCCGTTACTTGGCTAGCAGCCATGCATAAGGTAACTAAAGCAATTGTTAATTAAACTATGGCTTAAACTCCCATAGGAGCATTTTTAGATCAACCTATTTAATCCAGTATTCAGTTATCAACATCCAAGATGCCAATAGGAAATTGATAAGGAAGATTGTGTTAGCAACAGTCTCTTCCACTGGGGGAATTCACAGAAGGTGGGAGTCAAAATCTGCAAGATGGCAGGCATGCTATTGTAATCAGAGCCACACTTCTTTGAGAGGTGGTGTTTAGCTACGAGAGACTATTAGTCCTCGACTTACGATGGCAGTTGAGACCAGAATTTCCACCACTAAGCAGTGTGGTCATAAAGTGCGACTGCATTGCTTAACAACAGCAATCCCTGCAATCCTGGTTGCTGTCATTAACCAAATCCCACAGCTGTTAGGCAAGGCAACTTCCTGCTTGCTTCCCACAACCAGTCAGTGGGGAAGCTAGCAGGAAATTGCAAGTCCTAGGCTGGCAGGCAAGTATGTGGCTGCTGCTGGGTGGGGGAGGGAACAAGAGGGTGCGGGGGAGGTGTGGTGAAGGTCAGGGAGAGGGTGCGAGGGTGTGTGAGGTGTGGGTTGGGGAGGGTGTATGAAGGTGCGGCATGGATCAGGGAGCGTGTGCAAGAGTGCAGCGTGGGTCAGGGAGGGTGCGCAAGAGGCACTGGTTGGGGAGAGTGTGAAAGAGCACAAGCACGGCTCAGGACGGGTACACGAGTGGCAGTGTAGCACAAGTACAGAGGGGCTGGGGGAGGGTGCGTATAGTAGGGAAACACCCAAGCAACTTGCGACCTTCCCTGCTGGCATTCCCCATTGACTTTCTGGAGAAGGTGGCAGGGAAGATTGCAAATGGCAATCACATGATCGCAGGGCACTGCTACCAGTCTTAAGTGCAAGTTGCCAAGTGCTGAGATCGCAGTCACTTGACCACGGGGTGTTGGGATGGATAACCATTTGTTCAGCACATTCGTAACTTTGGTTGCTGACCAAATGGTCATAGGACACTACTTGTATTGCCTTATATTGTTTTGTATTGAATGGATTGTTCCTGTACATAATACCATGTTTATTTGGTCAAATTATATTGAGATCAGCAATAGGAAGAATAGTATGAAGTTATCTTACACAATGTAGAGGATAGGTGTGTGACTTGGTGTTATGTGCACTGCATTTGTGTATCAAATCAAATCTTTATTACGGTCATAGACCAGCATAAGTGTTTGTGTGTAGATTTTCATATAATCGTAGTTATTCATTTTACGAAATACAGGAAAATTTCCCCTATGCCAGTTGGTGAATTAGAATCTTATATTTAGCAAATCTTCATTTGAGTTTCTATTCTAGTCTAACAATTTGAATGCATTCAGAAATAATTCAGCCTCACTGCTGAATTGCATGTACAATTCCAGTAGTTTCTGGCTATGAAAATTAATATGTTAAGCAGAACTTCTTCCTTTTTGTCATCTTACAGGCAGCAAAACTTCTTTATGAATCTCGGGATCAGTAGTTTTTCAAAATTGAGGGGAAAAGATCAGCTCTAAAAATAAGCTTCTTACTACTTGCTACTACACATGGTATAGGGACTTACTACTACATATGGTATAGGGATTCTCCCTTCCTCCTTTCCTAAATGTGGTTCATCATGTGAGCACTGGCCAATTATAATGTGAGTATTTTGACCTATAAGTATTCACTTATTTAGTGTGCAATATGTATACAGTTTAATAATGCTTTAAATAGAGCTCTGCATCTATGACTTTATTTTGTTAAATCTTATCTGCACTTAATATGTAAAATGAAGTGTGACCTGCACTATTGCTAAATATATAGCACAACTTTTATAGTACAAATTATGTATGCTATGTAATTCACTTAAAACCAATCTTCGATGTTCTAGAAAAAAGCTCTTCAAAAATGTAGATCTCAGGTTTTTTTCTATATATCCAAATGAAATCCACCTTAGGTATTATTTTATATAGAACCACCCTTTCTTCTGGTGAGGGGTTTGTAACATGAGATTAAAGCTTTTCTTTTTTCTTTTTCTTTTTTTGGAAAAATTAAGGTTTACCAAATACTACAAATAGTGCTGTATAAATTGGCCTTTTTGAATGAAACTGTCAGCAAAACTGGTTTTTGAAGTTTTATAGTCATGTTTTGTGGTAATTTGCAATTTGGCTAATAAAACCTTATTAAATACTATGTAAGCTTGTCTGATGTAGCACTGCTGAGGGTTCACTGGACTAACATGTAGATTGGTGTCAGTTTGAGCCTGGTGTGAAATCAAGTACAAATGAAGCAGGAAAAAGAAGTAAGAGACAAAGACGAAGACAGAAGGTTTCCATAGGATTCAGTTTGAAGACCTGATTTAGCACATCATACCTAAGGGCATGCAGAGAATATATAACAGTATTAAGCATGTAACATGTGTTATGTATATGAAAGCTTCATAATGACTTTCAGAAAAAGCGTACATGTTAAAAACAAACACCTGAAACTTCACCAATATCTTAGTAGTAGTTTATTGTGCACACTGGATTAGCAGTGTATTGCAGGCTTTTAACTCACATTTCATTTAGCAAATATTCTTTTACAATATCCTTTCACTTCTCATCACCACAATATATACAGTTGATGCTAAACAATAATAAAAGCAAGTCACAGCACTGCATGAATGGTTATAAATTATGCACAATGTGTAAATGAATAAAGCCAATTGATCTAGAGTTTACTGGGAAGAAATTATAAAACAAGCATGGTTACAACATAATGGGAAGTTCAAAATAGACTTCTGTATATAAAACCATGTACAATTAGTATTCCAGTGAAGTGCTTTTTTGCTTGAAAGTAGATACTGGATTTATTGCATAACTCACCCTGGCATGCAGGGTCACTAGAATCACAGATACTTTTTCAGTCCAAAAAGCAAGCCATCTTTGCCATACATTCTCCCCTTTCTCAGCCTCAGTTTACAGAACCAACTTAAATCTTTTTATTCAGCCTTTAATCACCTACCTACTTTCACAAATAAGAGTTAAAAGTCCTTAAAGTGAATCTTTTAGCTTTTCTAGCCTACCTCTTACCTTTTCCAACTATTGCACTTTTCTTTCATAAGACATACAAGTCCCTCAAGTCAGGATTGTCTAGGTGATAGAAGTCAGGATGTGTTTGAGAAAGTGTAATGGAATATTGGGAAGATAAATTTGTTCTGTAAGCAGAATATCAAGAAAAAACATCAAGTGAAGGAACAAGTGCAGTTTTTAGAAGTGTGCAAAATCCATTCAGCATTAATGCTTCTCTGTCATGTCAGAAACACCTTTTATACCAGAAGATTATTACTCCCAGTTGTCAACTCTTACAAGATGTTTAAGGATTTACACATTAAACTCAACATTTCAATTGAATATTTTAATTGTAAAGGTCTTGACATAACAGAGCAGCTACAGTGAACTATAACAGATCAGACAGCGTATCTGCATTTTGCAGAGGTTTTAACATCTAGCACTTTTAATTCAATTGGCAAAAAATACTGTAGACTGTTTGAGTACCTCTCCCAATGATTGGCAAATTAACATGAGCAGACCTCACTTACAAACTGCAGATTGAAAATCTCAAATGCTGTCCATCATATTAAACAAGAGCACCATTTAAAACAAGAATAGCTTTAATTTGTGGTGAAATGTCTCCAGTGTATACTTTTCATCTTCCAGTTCCCAGAAAAAAATATTGGCAAATCAAGGGATTCAGGCAAGAGTTCGCTGTCTTGGTTTTATCCTTGGGTATAACTGCAATAAAATGAAATTGGAATTAAACTTCATAGTCCAAAAGAAGAATGATGAACATCTAAGGACAGAGATGTAACATTTCTAGAAATTTTGAAGCATTGTAAAAAAAATGGGTATGGGGGATGAAAAATGCTTTTTTTTACAGAAACAAGATTACTTTGTTGTTATATAAAATGTATTATGTATATCTGGGTTTGCCTATAGTAGTACAAAGAGGTATAGTTAGAACAATCATAAATTTATCAATTGAATTTTTACTCTAGAATGTTTCAGATGCTACCAATATCAAAGGAATGCTGTTCTCTTCAGCTTTGCCTGTTTAGGCAGACAAAAATTGATGTTGATATCAGAATAAACACTCAATACTGTAGTAAAATAAAGTTATGGGTTCTGGCTTTTGTACAGAAAGCACCAAGTTTCATTAAAAAGGAAGGAGGGGGAGCCAAGGTACAAAATACCCATTTTCCCATGTGAAACTTCTATTCAGACTCATTTTCTGAATTTAACATGCTATTAGTTTTTACTTCTAATCATTTCCACAGATTTCTGAAAATAATTGGTTATCTACCTGCAACTAGATATTCAAGTGATCATCAGTGAATTTACATAGACTCTGCATCTGTGCAGAGCTCTGTTCAAAACTTTTCAAAGCTTTAGAGAACTTTGGCACGAGTCTTGCTCCCACATACCCCTGCATATATATGCATAGTTCCTGCTAATCACTTTTTTCTGAGATCACCATAGAAATTTCTGGACCAATCCATGAGCCTTATCTGTCTTTCTCCTTTTTTTTGCCCTGCCCTAGTATGACAGGGCTGACCTCTTTTTCAAAGCCCTTTGTCAGGGACAAAAAAAATTCATGCTTTCTGAGTGGCCAAAAAGCTTATAAACAGGAAAGCCAGTTGCAGCTAAAACTGCAAAGTAACCTGAAAACCATCAATTACCAACTTTGACACAGTTATATCTAGAACTAACAAAGAGAAGGAATGAGCTTTGAGGAGGATGGTTTAGTAGTCTTAGAAACCATGGTCTTCAACCTGTACTTCCAGACCGTCACTCTCAGATGGGAGGAGCTGTTGTATCAGATGTGCTCTGAAAGGATTGGCAATGTTTACAGAAGTCTACTACATGATTCTTCCTGAGGCACAAAGTCAAACAGAATGTCCATCTGACAAGTGAATCTTAGTTCTCCAAATTTGACAACTGTGAAAGAGCTTTCAAGGCCATAAGACTCAGGCTGTGAAATTCAAGAGTACTGACAGACTCTTGGTACCTTCTTTAAAAACAAATGTAAAATCCAAACACAAAACTTGGAAGAATGAAGCTTTTGAAGAAAGAATAAAATAAAGAATGCACTGGAGCTACTGCATTAATATGTTACTGCTCTGATTATTTAAAAAAAAACCAAACTGACATTGGTGAGAACTGTAGTTAAACACAGATAGAGATACGGTTTGTGGGGGCAGGGCACTCACCAAAAGTTTCTGCACAGAACCTACAGTAGGGCAAAACAGTATTTAGTCAGCCACCAATTGTGCAAGTTCTCTTTCAAAGTAAATAGCACAATTTGTAATGGTCCCTGGTGGCGTAGTGTGTTACTGATGGTAGCCTTTGTTACTTTGGTCCCAGCTGCTTGTTTGTAGGTGACCAAATACTTATTTTCCACCATGATTTGCAAATAAATTCTTTAAAAATCAGACAATGTGATTTTCTGGTCCCTGGTGGCGTAGTGTGTTACTGATGGTAGCCTTTGTTACTTTGGTCCCAGCTCTCTGCAGGTCATTCACTAGGTCCCCCCGTGTGGTTCTGGGATTTTTGCTCACCATTCTTGTGATCATTTTGACCCCACGGGGTGAGATCTTGCATGGAGCCCCAGATCGAGGGAGATTATCAGTGGTCTTGTATGTCTTCCATTGTCTAATTATTGGCTTGTTTGTAGGTGACCAAATACTTATTTTCCACCATGATTTGCAAATAAATTCTTTAAAAATCAGACAATGTGATTTTCTGGTCCCTGGTGGCGTAGTGTGTTACTGATGGTAGCCTTTGTTACTTTGGTCCCAGCTCTCTGCAGGTCATTCACTAGGTCCCCCCGTGTGGTTCTGGGATTTTTGCTCACCATTCTTGTGATCATTTTGACCCCACGGGGTGAGATCTTGCATGGAGCCCCAGATCGAGGGAGATTATCAGTGGTCTTGTATGTCTTCCATTGTCTAATTATTGGCTTGTTTGTAGGTGACCAAATACTTATTTTCCACCATGATTTGCAAATAAATTCTTTAAAAATCAGACAATGTGATTTTCTGGTCCCTGGTGGCGTAGTGTGTTACTGATGGTAGCCTTTGTTACTTTGGTCCCAGCTCTCTGCAGGTCATTCACTAGGTCCCCCCGTGTGGTTCTGGGATTTTTGCTCACCATTCTTGTGATCATTTTGACCCCACGGGGTGAGATCTTGCATGGAGCCCCAGATCGAGGGAGATTATCAGTGGTCTTGTATGTCTTCCATTGTCTAATTATTGTTTTCCCCCATTTTGTCTCTCATAGGTGAGGTATACCTATGATGAAAATTACAGGCCTCTCTCATCTTTTTGAGTGGGAGAACTTGCACAATTGGTGGCTGACTAAATACTTTTTTGCCCCACTGTATATGAATGAATCACAGAGACCATGATGAAGAATTGAAAGCTTTTTTGTATTGGCCAGGATTCTCTATCCCTTCATATGGATTACTTTTACACTATGGTATTTGCACATTTAATTATTTATTTTCTAATGATAGGCTTTATGACAACTACTTCAAGCTATTAAAAGGTGAAGCAAAATACACTATAAAGCTGTGGTTTAAACACTAATTTTTAATGGTTTCTAATGTGGTAAATTTCCCTGTTTCAAAGTAAATAGCACAATTTGTAATGGCTACTATATGAACAATCAGACATTCAGCCTGAGCACTGTGTCAAAACGTAGGATAAAATGTGTATCATACTTACTCCCAAGAGATTTTTAGGCACATAGCCTTCCTTGTCATTGAGCCGAGCCCACCACCAGTCTGTCTCATTATCATCTTTGCGCCGCAAAACTGTAAGTGCATCTCCTTCATGGAACGACAACTCATCATTGTTCTGAGCTTCATAATCCCACAGTGCATAAACTATGCCTTTGTTCATGACACCTAACTTCTCTTGTACACCTGTTATCAAATGGTTTAATGAAAGATGAACAAACAATAACCAATTTGAAAACTGAGTTTCCTCATTAACTTAACATAGCTGTCTAGTTTCTTATGTACAATGAAGAATCAATAAAATCTCCTTACAGTAAAGTACTTACTTCTTACCAAACTCTAGATAGATACCCAGTCTAGTTTCAAGACATCTAGATTTGTCATAACAGAAAGGAAAGAACAGTTCCTTGTTTCTGACCAGTATGAACAAAAATGTAATAGCTTATGAACTTTGCATAATTGTAAACAATCCCTGCTTCACTGCTTTGCCAATAAAAATATCAGCTGCATTATTTGTTTATTTGAATTTATTAACCTCCCAAATCCAAAGGACTCTGGGTGGCGTATAAAACTGGAAAATCCATAAAAATGGATAAAACATCAAACTAAACAGCAGCCCAGACTAAAACAATCTTATAAACTACACAAATCAAACAAAACAGGGCCCCCATAAATGCAATTATACATTTACATCAACCCCAGGCCTGGGACCAAAGCCAGGAACTGTAGGAGACAGGTTGCGGTCATTATTTATTCATCATATTTATATGGCTGCCCATCTCCAAGACATAACTCTGGGTGGCGAAAAACAAACCATAAAAAGCAATTTTTAAAAATTGCTATCTCACTTCCTCTGTCCCACAAGATGACAAAGTTTATTAGAGGGGACCTGGAGCACACCCACTCTGCTGAAATATACCAGGTGTGCAGAAATGGAGACAGCAGTCACTCAGATATGCACACCTTATGCCATACAGGGTTTTATAGATAATAACCAGGATCTTGAATTGCACTCGGAAGCTGACTGGCAACCAATGCAGCTCACGTAACAGTGGTGACACATGGGCATACCGAAAGGCACCAGTTACTGCTCACCCCACTGCACTTTGAACCAGCTGCAGCTTCCAAGTGGTCTTCAAGGGCAGCCCCATGATTATTGCATTGCAATAATACAATCATGAGGTGATCAGGGCATAAGTAACTGTCTGAAGGGCCAATCAAGGAAAGGGTGCAACTGGCGCACAAGATGAACCTATGCAAAAGGCCCTCCTGGCCAGAGCTGTCACCTGCTCTTTGAGCAGTAGCTGCGAGTCCAGTTACATACCAGTCTTGAATAGGGAAATGCAGCCACATCCAAGACCAATGATGGTAACATTTCCAACCCTTGGAGGCCAAACTACCAGAGCCACTAAGTCTTGTCATGATTGAGCCAAAGTCCATTCTGCTCCATTCAGACTTAAGCAGCCTCCAGAAACGAGGTCAGTACATTGATAGTTTCATCTGTGCAGGGGTTGAGATGTAGAGCTGGGTAATACCAAACACCAAATTAGCGGATGACCTCACCCAGTGGTTTCATGTAGATGTTAAACAAGGGAGGAGACAGGATTGGCCCTGAGGCACCCCATGTGATCTCTCTCCCCCTATCAACACCAACTGGAACTGACCACAGTGGAAGGATGTGAACCTCTGGAACCAGTGCCTCCCATTCCTAACCCCTGTAGCTGGTCCAGAAGGATACTGCAGTCGACAGTTTCAAAAGCTGTTGAGAAATCAAGGAGCACTAGGATGGATACACTATCCCCAACCCTGCTGAACATAATCAACAAGTGCAACCAGGGCTGTCTCTGTACTGTACCCTGGTCTAAAATGGGTCCAGATAATCTCTTTCCTCCAAGATCCTTGGTAGCTATCCAACACCTTTTCCATACTCTTCCTCAAAAGATAGAGAACTGACTGATAATTATCCAACACGGAAGAGTCCAGTGATGGCCTCTTGAGGAGGGGGTGTACTACCATCTCCTTCAAGGCTGGTGGGATCACCCCTTCTCTCAAAGAGACTGAAACCACTGCATGGACCCACCGTGTTGTAAGCTCCCGGGCTATCTTAATAACCCAGGAGGGGCCAGGATCTAACAAACAGGTGGCTGAACTAACAGACAGAAGGACCTTGTCCACTTCCTCAGGGGTAACAGAATCAAACTCAGTCCAGATAAAATCACAAGACTGTGCTCCAGGCAACTCACTTGGACTTGCCCACTCAGAATCCAACTCTGAGTGAATCTCAGTGACTTTGCCTGCTATTTCTCACCACAGCCCTGTAGAAATACCCAGTGGCAAATAACAGCCCCCATTCCTGTAAACTACTATTCTCTCTTGTAGGCACACAACATTGTTCAGGATGGAGTAGCATAAATCTAAATCCATTTCAGCTATACTGGAACAAGCAGTGATTTTCACTGTATTATTTGAAAAGATCCTTATCAGTCTTATTCAGATTATTTTGAAGGCAGGTAAGGATCTCTTCAGCTATCATAATGAAAATTACTGCTAGATGAAGAAATAATCTCTGAAGAAGCCATCTCTTCCCTTACTACTTGACATGATTAGTGCGTATTTGCATTATATCTACCACTTCAGTACCCAGAGAAGAAATCTTATTGATTGGAGAGGTGAATTCCAATTATCCTTCTGTGATGCAGCTGTTTCTGCTCCAGTAAGTCTTAAAAATACAGCCCAGTAATGACGGCAAAAAAGTAAATGCCTCCTAAAATCAAATCTCATCAGATATAACTCTCATTCATATCAGAAAAGATTGAAATGAATATGGGAAAATAATATGTAGATGGACCTTATAATCTCTCCATTCTCATTGAAACCCTCTCACATACTGACATACTACTTCCATAAACACATTTTCTTTGAGAGCGCTGAGTCCTGTCTATCCATTGGCCATATTACCTAAAGGTGATATTTTAAATTGCTGGGTACCTGGAATCTTAAACAGTAGATAAGGAACCATTATTCTTATCAACTGTTATGGAGGCCAATCTAAACAAAAGCTTTCTTCATCTGACAGACAGTGATGACGCTTGTACTGTAATTTGACATCTGAGGGACATCAGATTGGGAGAGATGGGAAGTGAAGTTGAGGTTTTCCATTTCTCCATTTACATGATTAATCAAATTCAGGTAACAAAAAGTACTGTTCATAAAAATTTAGTGTGTATGTGTGTAAATATTTAAAATAAATAAATTTTCAGTTGTAATGTAAATATTAATACAGTGGTACCTCGAGTTACGAACTTAATCCGTCCCGTGACTCTGGTGCCAACTCGAGTGGGTTGCAACTCGAGGTAAATTTTCCCATAAGGTTCAGTGTAAATGCGGGTAATCCGTGCCCCCTCCGAAGTGGGTCGCACCACGAGGCAAATGGCCCCATAAGGTTCAATGTAAATATGGCTAA